AAAAATATTTAATAATTGTGATATATATGCACACTAATATTTCATTAATCTTTAAAGTCAATACATGTTCTTTTTTTTTTTAATAGCAATACATGTTCGTTTATGTATTCTATCAATAATTGCAACATATTAAATTTTTTTCAAACTTACTATATAGTATTTCATTATGCAGCAATTCATATTGGTGAAAATGTCATATCGCACAATTTTACGTGTAATGGACAACTAAATATCCAAGGTGGTAGCACATTTTTTTGGTGATAGTGGCATTCAAGGCAATCCTAATGTAATGCAGAACAACAATGTTCAAAGAAGAAATAGGGGCAGAGTCTGTCATCGTTCTACAATAAACTTTCATGAGCAAAGAGGAGTCCCGATCGTTCAACTATCACCTCCGAGAACGTGTGAGTTTTGTCAAGCTCTCCTTTTTCATTATGAAACATCCAAAATATGTTGTTTGTCTGGGAAGATTACCTTGCCAACCTTACCTATTCCCGAAGGTATACGTTCTTTATACACTGATCAAACACCTATTGGAATACAATTTAAGAGTGACATTAGAAAAATTAATCACTTATTCGCTTTAACCTCCATGGGAGTGCACTTAGATGAGAGCTTAACTAATGCTCAACACGGAGTATACACATTTCGAGCTCAAGGGTCTATATATCATAAAATAGGCGGGCTGCTCCCAACTACATTAGAATCTCGACCACGATTCCTTCAGTTGTACATATGTGACACTGAGCATGAGGTTGAAAATCGTCTTGAGGAGAATAACATAATACGACAAGATATTGTAGAAAAAATTAAAGCCATCCTTGATCGGTGCAATCCTTTTGTTCATAATCTTCGAAGTTTGGCTCACTCAACAAGAAAACATACAAGACTGTGCACTCCGTATCAATGAACAACCATCAAATCAACCACAATATTGTCTTCCTACTGCTTCTCAAGTTGCGGCTGTGATTATCGGAGGAGAAGAGGTTGCGAACTTAAATCCAAGAGATATTTTAGTTCAATCAACTTCTGGCCAATTAATGAATGTGTTGGAAAATGCTGGATACTATGATCCCCTTCAATATCCATTACTATTTCCATACGGTTCTTATGGATGGTCGATAAACAGTCTTAATAATAATGAAAGAACCATACCTTGCCGAGCATTCTACGCTTATATCATTCAAGTAAAGTACACTCCCCTCTCATATTAACACGTAGATTTATATTATTTTCTCATATTTTAACAATATTTTATTGATTGTAGGTACGACAATATGTCTCCATCATCTTAATGGTAGAGCGCTTATTTCAACAATTCATTGTTGACATGTTTGTGAAAATTGAGGCAAATAAGCTAAGATGGATTCGAGATGATCAAGATACAATTAGAGCTAAATTGTATCAAGGACTTCAAGATTGTTTAGATGTCAGAGAGATCAATACAGGTTCTTTTCTTAAATATGTTGTTTGCCTTTAATTTTAATTTTACTATTATTATTATGTACTATAATATAATTTACAGTACATTGTAATTATAGAGAATGCCGGAAAAACAACCGTTCTACCTTCTTCGTTTGTCAGGTGTCCAAGAGACATGAATCAAAGATTTCAAGATGCAATGGAATTAGTTACACATTATGGAAAACCATACCTCTTTTTGACAATGACATGCAACCCATCGTGGAGAGAAATTGTAGACGAGTTATTGCCAGGTCAAGCAGCAGAAGATCGTCTCAACTTAATCACCAGAATATTCCGTGCAAAATTTGAGGAATTCAAGATGGACGTTGTAGAAAAAGGCGCTCTTGGGTAGGTTATTGCCTATGTCTATGTCATTGAGTTTCAAAAAAGAGGCTTGCCACATGTTCACATGCTACTCATTTTGGACAAAAAACACAAACCAAAATCTCCAAAAGAGTATGACACATTTGTGAGAGCCGAGATACTTGATAGAGATGAAGAACCACGATTATACGATGTTGTTTTAAAGCATATGATCCATATTTTGTGTGGCAAAGGTCGTCGAAATTCTTCTTGCATGGAAAATGGGGTTTGTAAACGTAAATTTCCTAAACCTATTGCAGAAAGCACAGTCCAAGGAAAGAACTCATATCCTATTTATCGTCGTCGTGGTGATCGTCCGCCAGTGCCTTTACATGAGAATAGTTGTAGGGAATATTTCAAGCATTACCCCAAACTTGAACCCCCCTGTGATCATACACTTAAGCATAGTGGCGTCCAAAGGGAAGGAAGCTAGAGCAAAAGAGTCTCCAACATGTTTTAGGAACTTGTAAACCGTTCACGGGATGAAGGTTACACCCCTTAACGATCCATGAGATCGTTAACTCCAATAGGTCTGGAACCAAGCCTGGAAGTTCGGGGATGAAGGTGCAAATCCAATCTTAAAGAGAAAGAACCAGCCCTAATAATAGGCCTCTAATTTATTCTTCTCGTATTTATGTGCGCTTTCTGACTAACATGCAACCATTAGGTTTACCCTAAACCTGTTTAATCTATATATGTTGGTTGAATATTAATGCACAAACAAAACTATTATTGGCGATCACTTTAATTATAATCAAATTAACCCTAAACAAGATTATTAATTATCTTATTAAGCATGATTACAAGTACAAATTCCCTTTAAACATGCATAAAAGGCGTGATCAAGCAATAACAATAAATATAATCAAGCAACATAATAATAATAATAATAATAATAATAATAATAATAATAATAATAATAATCATTATAATCATAATTAAAATAATCATGTTAAAAATAAAGCATAATAATAGCAAGATCCTAGGCATGATACTAACAAGATTAATAACAAACCTTAGCATGTCACAAAACATATAAAAATCAAAGCTTTAACCCTAACATGATACTAACATGAATAAAAGGCATCATAGAAATCATAATTGATATTATAAACTTATTCTTTACCCTAAACATCATACTAAGAAAAGCATCCTAACATGATACTAGGAAAAGCATCCTAACATGATACTAGAATCAAAATAACAACCTAAACATGATCTCTATATATCATAATATCAATTAAACAATTAAAGTACTTACTTGGATGCCTCGTACCTCTTTCTAATAACATAATACACACGTTAGTAACTTCAAGGAAAATAATTAAATCAAAGAATTATATTAAATAATTAAAATAGAGATTTGGGACCAAACCCTCAGAAATACCAAACCTTTCACGTCTAGGGGGAAGGCAACTTCGAATTTAGCTAGGTGTGTCTAGTGCTAATGTATGAGGAATTGTAAAAAGGTTGGCATAGAAAGAGAGAGAGAATCAAGAAATTCTTGATGAGAGTTGATGATTGAAAAGGGGAGATATGACCTCTATTTATAGAGAAAAAAGAGGGTCGAAGAATAAGAAAAGAATCCAAATTCGAATCGAAATAAAACTCGATGGACAACAGTTTTTACGGATTTTGTTTTTATCATATCTTTTTATCCAAAAGTCCAAATAAGACATATAACATGTCGTTGGAAAGCTCTTAAAGTCTACTTTCCAACCCAATTAGAATTAGATTAAAATATTTTGTAAATAAAATATATGGCCGAAATATTGGGACGGTGTCAGTTTTGGATAAAGTTTTGTATCTCATTCATATCTTTTTCGTTATAGCTCAGAATTAATATTATAATATATCATTGGAAGGATAATTTCAAGATCTATCCAACCATATAAGATTTGGATAAAGATTATAAGGCACAAAAATAATACCTGAATTTCTTTGAACATCTTTAAATTCGAATAGAATAGGATTAAAAAAAAGGAAAGTTTTTATAAAAGGAAAGTTTTTATTTAACTCAAATTCTTTAATCTTATCTTTTCAAAAAGGATAATTAAGATTTTTTAAAAACTTATAGAAGCTTCCAATTAATCCTAATTAGCTTAGGAATAGGATTAGACCTTTGGACCCTCCACATGATCATTGGACCGTAGGTAAAATCCGGTTTGGGCCCAATTTAGTATTTTGGCCATAACTTCCTCATTATTCATCGGAATTGGGCTTATAATATATCGTTGGAAAGGTATTTTCAAGCCCCATCCAACTACACCATTATTGGACCCATGTCATGGACCAAACTAAACTAGAATGCACATTTTTCAAAAATAGGGTAAGAAAAGAAATATTTTCAAAAACAGAAAGAAGAGATATTTTAATAAAAACATTCTCATCACTAGACTTTTCACACTTTCTCTTTGTTCGATAATCAATGACATGAAAGGTATTCATCACTGGGTTTGGTTTATTCTACTATGCTCACAGAGTTCTTCAAGATGAATTCCTCAGATCTAGAGGCGAGAACATACCTATATAGAGAATTTCCTCAACGTTATTGATGGCTAACGACTACAAAAACATGGAGAAAAAGGAGGAGTACACAAAGAGCGATAGGTAGAATCTACACAGCCTCACTAATGGAAGGAGAAAGATTTTTCTTACGTTTATTGTTGGATCATGTTAAAGGCCCTGAATCATTTGAGCATATACGAACTGTCAATGGGATTGTTTATTCTACTTTTAGAGAAGCAGCCGAAAAACTAGGTCTTATGGAGAATGATGCAAGTATTCGTGATTGTTTCCATGAAACATCAAACTCTAAGATGCCATCATCATTGAGAAGATTTTTTGTCACGTTATTGGTTTATTGTCAACCAACTGGGGTTCAATCTTTATGGGATGAATTTTATCATTACATGGCTGAAGACTACTTATATTCAACTTCAACAAATCCAGATCTGGTACGTGATACAGTTCTCTATGATATCGATCGCATGTTAAAAAAATTTGGAAAGAGTGTCAATGACTTCGACTTACCTTAAATAAACATTCAATTGGATGGAAACGCACATGTATCTAGAGCCATACATGATGAATTATCAGCACCAGTGCCCCCTGAAGCTGTGCATTGTGTGGAGCATCTTAATGACGACTAACGGTATTCATTTGATATCATAATGGAAGCTATTGATGCAGAGAATGGTCAAATTTTCTTTATAGATGGTCCAGGTGGGATAGGTAAGACTTATCTATATCGAGCCATACTTGCAACAGTCAAGCTTAGAGGGAAATTTGGATTACCATTAACTAGCTCAGGTATTGCTGCCACACTATTGCATCGAGGAAAAACCGCTCATAAAACTCTTGGTATTCCAGTTACGCTGCATGCTTTGTCAATTTGTCAAGTATGAAGCTGTCATTATATGGGATGAAGCAACAATGACTCATCGACATGCGTATGAAGCAATTGATCGTAGTTTAAGAGATCTAACAGGGGTTGATGTTCCATTTGGCGACAAAGTCATTTTGTTTAGTGGAGATTTTAGACGAATTTTACCCGTTGTACCAAAAGGAACAAAGGCTCAAACTATAGATGCGTGTTTGGTTAGGTCAACACTATGGAAACATGTTCACCTACTCCATCTCACTCAAAATAAGATCAATACAGGATCCTGAATTTGCAGCCTTTCTTTTAAGAGTTAGAGATGGATGTGAGCCTACAGTTGATGAAGACATGATAAAGTTACCATCTTCAATATGTGTAGGAAATGGTGATAATATTTCAGTTGATAATCTAATCCCTGAAATATTCACAAACCTAACTAAGCACGTAGGAAATGTGTCATACATGGTACAAAGAGCTATAATAACACCAACAAATGTCGAAGTTGGCATGCTTAATGAGAAGATACTTACAGAGTTTGTCGGAGAAGAAAAAACCTACTACTCACGTGACTCTATTCCAGAAGATCGTCAAAATCTCTATCAATAGGAGTTCTTGAAGTCATTATCCTTTGATGGTTTGCCACCACATATTCTTAAGTTGAAAGTTGGATCTCCAATCATGCTTTTGAGAAATATTGAAACAAGCAATGGGTTGTGTAATGGGACAAGATATGTAGTCGGTTAAGGGATCATGTGATTGAGGAAGAAATTTTGACCGGAAGTCATAAAGGGACACGAGTGTTCATTCCACGTATTCCTTTAAAAACGGCAGAAGATGTGAAGTTGCCATTTGAAATGATCAGAAAACAATTTCATGTGAAATTATGTTTTGCTTTGACCATAAACAAATCGCAGGGGCAAACCATTCCTCATGTTGGTATATATCTCCCCCAACATGTTTTCAGCCATGGACAGTTATATGTTGCACTATCAAGAGGGACCTCACAAGAAACAACCAGAGTTTTGGTTAGTAAAGGAGATATTCGAGGAAGATGTGGTGTATTTACAAAAAAAACGTGGTTTACAAAGAAGTCCTCCTGCCTCATATGCCACAACCCTAATTATCAGGTATAATCATAAATATTAAACATGCATACATAACTTCTTAAGTAATATACATCTATGAAATGACTTCTTTATCTTCTTATCAGGGAGAAAGCTAAGTGTGATAAAAGTCAACAACTAAGCATCAAAAGTGTATGGAAGCAAAAACAACTCATGCTAAGGATATATTTTTTTTTTATGTTTTTTATATTGTAATTTTATTACAGCATTATCTCCAAGTATATGTACAATATGTATGCGGAAATAATTTCAACTCATAATTTTCATAAAATATCATGTATGTATGTGGTATTTTGTGCACGCATGGCGTGCATATTTTAGCTTGTTAAAATAATCTAAACTATCAAGTAACCAAATTGTTGTGAGGAGATTTAAACTAAGGAGAATTAATTGGGAGAAATCAATAATAAAAAGCCTTGGGTCACAGGTTTACTAGTAATTAATTTTTATTTCGGAATAAAACATAGCAATAAATAATTAACATTGCACATATAACATGATTAACAGGCTCTCGCAATTTATTAATCAATATAAATCTAACAGACTCTCGCAATTTACTAGATCTAAGTTCCTATTGAAAATAGCCTTTAATATTAAATTAACATCTGCTCGATTCATCAATTCAATATCGCTATACTTTTACAATCAAATCACATCTATTCGATTAATTGTAAATAAAACAATCCAATAAGAAATTATCATATAATATCAATAATCAACCAAAACAAATTATCCCTCTATATTAATTATGGATCCCCCAAGAACCCTACAATTAAACTACTCACACATAATTAAATCTAAACTAATCAAAGCATATGAAAAAGACATGATTAAGATCAAAGCACAAATTAATAAAGCAATTAAAGTCAAAGCAAAGAAAATAAGTGATAAAGGAGAGAAAAAAGAATATCGAAAGAAGGAAAATATGAAATTGCACTAAAAGGGGAAAACTTGAGTTCAACAATAAACAACAACTAGGAATCTCTCTAAAGTTAAGTATGAAAAGAGGAATAATGAAGAACGCATCTAAAAGAAATTACAAGAAGATTTTTCATACTAAGCTCGAAAATTAGCCAAAACGAAAATCCTAAGCTGCATAAACTTATACGCGCCCGATCGGGCTAGCCTTTTTCTATCTTCTTCGATTTTGGGGGTACCGCCCGATCGAGCCTGGTCCCTTTTGACCGACTCTTCTTTTCTTTGTTTTCTTTGGGCTTTAATTATTAAAGGACCACTTCTTCTCGGTCCATTGCTCGGACCAATTCCACGAACCAAGCCCTTAGTCACCGATACGATCGATCTTGGGCTACAATCAACGGTCATGAATGTGCTACAAGCTTTAATATCTCAAAGTGGCCGGAAAACCATAGAAATTACCGACAAATGCGGAAAATTCCTACAAAACAAATGTCAACTCTACAAAACACTCAAAACCACACATTAGTGCTAAAAGTAGCTATGAAGAGCTAAAATATGCATATAAATGACCATGAGACGGGAGATAAAGTAGCATATAAAACACATATATCACTAGTAATCATCAATAAATAATAATAAATCAATAATCCATAAGTATATATTTCAATAACTATATACTTAATGACACATTAAAAAAATTGTTCTTGGTGTGATAATGCACCATTCTTTTTTTTTTTTTTTTTATTTTGTCATTTTCGTATGTGTAGGCATCGTTCGAAATGCGCCTACATTAAAGCATGTGTGAATATGCTTGGCACTCTTAGGAAGTGGGAATTGACGTATACGATTAGGGACAAGGAAAGTAGGGAGCCGCCAACAAGTTTTTAAGGAACTTGTAAACCGTTCACGGATCATTTAAGGCAACCACAAATAAGGGACAACGAAGGCAACAATGACCCGTGAAGGTTACACCCCATTCATAATCCATGAGATTACTAACTCCATATGGTTCGGAACCACGAAAGGAGGATCGAGGATGATGGTACGAAGTGAGTCATGGAGTCACATTCGCCCGTATTGGCCTCTACTCGATTCTTATTGTGAAAAGTGATTCCTGCGATCTCAAAGGCATACAAACAAATATTCAATTTGCTCCAAACTATTATTAGGCTAGATTGGTTAAATATTAATGCAACACATAATTCTAAAAAAATTTGTGATCACTTGAATTAAATGACAAGATTAAAAAGGAACCTAAATCGGTTGTCCAAATTATCTTATTAGGCGTGATTTTCAATTACATATTCCCTTTAAACATGAAATATGGTGATCATAATAAATATAATAAATAAACATTCATATTGGAAGCAATTTAACCATAATAGCGTTAACCAAATCAAATATAAAATTAACCTAATCATGATACTAGAAATATTAAAATAAAATATGAGTAATTAAATTAATTAATTACTCACATTCCACGCTTTCCTTTAAATTGCTACATCATGAATAAATTGTTAGTAATTTCAATAAAAAATATAAAGCAAATGAAAATTAAATTAAATTAAATAAAAAGTAGAGTTGATTTGGTCCAAACCCTCAGTTATGTGTACCTTTCACACCTTGGTTTATGGACGGAACCTCGGGTTAAGTATGGACTCCTTGGAGTGCTTAAGGGGAGAACTGTGTAATTAGGAATATAGGTTTAAAGCTTAGAGTATGGGAGAGAGAGAATAGAATAATTTTTGGTGTAAAAGAGAGAAAGAGAGAAGGATTCGATGCCCTGAAATGCAGAAATGAGGGTCTTATTTATAGGGAAATTGAGTAGAGGAAACACGCGGAACCCTAAAAAGATAAAAACCCTAAAAATTAACATCACGACACGGCAGAAAACACCGTGACACGGTGCCAGGCACCGTCAGACGGGGCAAAAGCACCGTCAGACGGGGGAAAATCCCGTGACGCGGTGGACAACTGGAGTGGCACGGGAAATATTTGACCTACGGGAAGTGAAAACGCGTGAAGGGTTTACGTGGAAAAGACACGAGAAAATTCCGTGACACGGCACACGTACCATGACACGGCAGTGTCCACCGTGGCACGGTACGGTACATCGTGTCACGGTATGGGAAAACGCGGAAATTACACGGAAAAAGTACCGTGACACTGTAGACACCTAAAAATGTCTCCCCAAAACCAAACCCGATGATGAACAATCTTTCACCGCCACTATTGGTCGGATTCAGTATTTAATCCCAAGAGTGCTTAAAAAATTGTATTTGATTAAATTCGTATACTTGAATAGTCCATGGATTAGTCTTGATGTTTGGTAAAAGCATGGTTTTAATTTCAGCCCAAACTAATTATTTAATTTTATCCCAATCCTTTTTTATTTTATTGTTTTATTATTTATTTTTGGCCTAAACCTTTTATTTATTTTATTTACTTATTTTCTTATTTTAGCCCAAACAACAATAAATCAGAAAAAGACCCGAAATTATCAATCGGCACTTAAAATGCTGAACGAAATTAGGGTTAAAAATGAATTTAGACGGAAAAGCGGACTGAAAATTCCCGCGCCACGGCAGCAGTCCACCATATCACGGGAAACTTTCCCGTCTGGCGGTGGGATTTCCCGTGACACGGGAAACCTGCTGTGACACGGGAATTTCCGTGTCCTTTCCGCGTAAACCCTTAACGCGTTTTCTCCCCCGTTTACTAAATATTTCCCGCGTCACACAAAATTTGCACCATGTCACGGGAATATTTCCCGTCTGACGGGTGGATTTCCCATGACACGGTACAGTTTGCCGTGTCGCGGGATACTTTTTTAGGGTTTTTATCATTTTAGGGTTTTGTGTGTTCCCTCAGCACATTTTTCCTATAAATACCCCCCTCATTTCTGATGTACGGGGCATCAATTTATTCTCTATTTTTCTCTCTTCTATGCTCTAGCCTAAACACTAGTCTACCCTTCTTATTTAAAAATTCCTTCTTCAAGTACTCCAAGGAGTCCATACTTTATTCGTGGTTCTGTCCTTAAGCCAAGGCATGAATGGTAGAACTGTTTGAGGGTTTGGACCCAAATAAAATCTACTTTATTTAGTTTAATTTAATTATTGTTTTATTATTATTTCCTTGAAGTTACTAACTAGTTCATTATTTTGTAGTTGCAAACAAACAGAATCAAAGTAAGAATTATGTTCCTTTTATTTCTATTATTTTTCTAACGATTTTGTATTGTTAGAATTATTGTTAATATTGATGTTATTTTATTATTTATGATCACCATATTGCATTTTAAAGGGAATATGTAATTGAAAATCACGCCTAATAAGATAATTTGGACAACCGATTTAGGATCCTTTTTAATATTGTTGTTAATTGAAGTGATCACAAATATTTTAGAATTATATGTTGCATTAATATTCAACCAATTTAGCGTAATAATAGTTTGGAGCGAATTGAATATTTTGTTTGTATGCTTTTGAGATCGCAGGAATGCTTTTCACAATAAGAATCGAGTAGAGGGCAATACGGGCGAATGTGACTCCATGACTCACT